CATCTTATAAGTAATTACAGAACTTATAAAGATGATTCTTTACAGTCTGAATTATCTATTCTAATATATCATCAGTCTCAGAATGATAGACAGTTGACAAACAGTGTGTAATCTTGAGAACTTGACAGATTCTTGTTCAGAGAGTGCTTATAAATTGACAGTCTTAATCTGATACTATAGATCTCAGTAATTCATGTATCTAATAGAACAGACTTTATAGAAAAGCTTCAGTAACTTGTTCAGTATTCATCTTATTATAAGATTTCAATATTATATCTTTACTCAATCAGTTTACAATAATCAGAACATTTCTACAACTCTTACTCTCAGAGAGATCAATAGTGAAGTCAATTATTATATCTTATTAAATTCTATTAGAAATATTGAGCAGTTTCAGCAGATCTTTTCTACAGTTCTTTTATAATATGATAGAAGAATAACAGTTGCAGTTTCAGATGAAATATCTGATACTGTTTAATATCTCAGATCAGTAGAACTCTTAAGAGATTATTTAATACAGTTATTCATAATTTGAATGATCAGTTATATAAGAATCATGCATCTCTTTTATTATTCAGATATGTAAGAGTTCAGAGTAAGAGACTCAGTGTTGTTTACAGAATCACAGAGTGTTATTATCATTAATTAAGCATTTCAAGATATCAGTTCTTATACATAGTTCTGAAGAGAATTCAGATACTTCTTAATATACTGCTTCAGTAAGCACTTGAAGAAGTTCATTAATTTGAGCTGTTATATGTCATAATTCATCTAGTGTAGATTCAGAAGAAGTTGAGATATTAATAACAGTTCTAATGAGAGAAGCATGTATAGTATCATGAGTTATTTCATCTTAATTAACTAATATCTTCAAATTCAAGAGCTAATATTCTCAGTTTATTCAATATGTGTCTGTTATATCAGATGATATATCTTACTCTCATTATAAGAGAGTATCTATCATTAAGTTCTGACTACTGAGACAGTAGTGTATTATGAAATGAAAATAACTTAATAGCTCAGATCATTGCATCTATCATTCAGTAAGCTTATAAGTAATAGTGAAGTATTTGAGATTCTTATAATCTGTGATTATCTTAAATTTAAAGATACTTCAGAGTTCAGAGTCTCATTTCTCTAGACAGTGTATAATTGTAAGAAGTTTCTTGTCATAGATCTCATAGTTGCATTCGACAAGCTCAACTTCTTAGATATGAAGATATATAATTGTAAGATATCTTTATTATCAGATTATAATATAACTCTCTCTGTAATATAGTCAGAGAAGTCATCTTCAACAACTGTTTCACAGTCAGAGTTAAATATTATTAACAGAGATGTATTAATGAACATCTTCTTCATCTGTATAAATGCAGTATCAGTGTTCACTGATCATTGAAATACTGAGTTCTTCTTAGTAAGTTCTGTAAGTGATCTCATAATATCTGAGAAGTTTCTTATAAATTACTGATAAAAGTTAGTAAATCTGATGAAGCTTTATACACTCTTCACAGTATATAAAGCTTCTCATTCAAGAATAATGAAGACTTTCTCAGAATTTATTCAAATTCTCTTATCAGCTTCTATGATAAAATCTAGGTATTTTATACTCTTGACTTCAAAATCATACTTATTAATATCTATTAATAGTTGTGCTTCTTGTAATTATTGTAATACTTTTCACATATGTTCTTGATATTCTTTTCTGAACTCATCAGTGAAGATGAGAATATCATTAAAATATACAGATACAAATTCATTAAGAAAATCTCAGAGTACTCAGTTAATATACTTCTGAAATATACTGAGAATATTAATCAGTTTAAAGAGTGTGACTACTTATTCAAAGAAATTATAACATATTTAAAATACTGTAAGTCATTCATCTTCTTCAGTAATACAGATCTTATAAAACACAGTGATGATATCTAGTTTTATAAATTATTAAGCTTGTCTGATACAAGCTAGAGTTTCATTAATAATAGATAAAGAATAGTGATTCTTCTTGATTAATCTATTCAATTCTTAATAGTTCACACAGAATCAGAGTTCTTTATCTGATTTCTTTGCAAAGAGAATAGAAGCTGTAGTGAAAGAGTTACTAATATATATAAATTTCTTATTCAACAGATCATTGAGTATCTTTCAAAGAAGAAGAAGTTCATCTTGAGACATATTATAAAGAGAGCTTTATGATGACTCAGAGTTCTTATTATTCTTCTTTTCTAACTTAATACTGTGATTCACTTCTGAGTCTCATAAGAGAAGTATATTTATAATATTATCTTATCAGAAGACATCTAGATATTCATAATATTATTAAGAGAGTTTTGTATAAGAATGTATTATTATAGTATGAGATAACTTTTCTAGAGCTTTCTTGATATTAGTCAGACTGATAGAATAGATTACTATATAATTCTACTATCAGTCATCTTTTCAGTGACTTCTTTTTTAGAGTATTTTATAAGTGTTAACAGAGATCTGTATCAGATTCATAGTCTTGTGAATATCATCTTTATGAACTCTATTATTATTAGAGAATATTAAGCTTCTGTTTTAAGCATTTAATAAAATGTCTTATTCAGACAGTCAGACAAGTTCTAATATAAAATTATAATCAAGATTATTCACTTTATATATATATATATCTTCATATTGATATTCTTTAACATTTATATTTAACTTTATCATGTAATGAGTGTAAACATTCTTTAAGTTATCAAATTCTGCAAGAAGTCAGAGTTTTAGTAAGAGAATACACTGAAGATTATAATATCTTATAACTGAAGATTTAATCATTGTATAATAACATAAATCACTGTCTATTATAAGTGTTATATTATACATATTATTGATCACAGTAGATACAAGAATTATATTCACTGTTATTTTCTCTTTAAATTATTATTATCTGATCTCTTCAAGCTTCTGTTTATAAATTTGAACAGAAGCTAATCTTTTTTCTGTTTTATCAGAGTATCTTTATAGTTGTCTTCTAAATCTTTCTTCAATATAATATAATTGACATGAACAGATACTGATTTATTCTTTAAGTGAGAAGACACTGATCTTTCTCTTAAGTGAGAAGATATATAGACTGATTAGCAGTTGAAGATAATATATTCTGATTAGTTATAATTGATGTATATCTCATATTAATGTCAGTTAGTGATATCTTCAGAAGTGATTCTGAGAACTCAGAAGTCTGTTTAAATGATAAAGACTCTTACTTATATATAGATATTCAAGTCTACTCAGTTTATAGCATCTGTATTCTTATTATTATTCTTCAGCACAGATGTATAAGTGACTGAGATGTAATATCTTCTATTACTATTCTGTATACTTTTAAGCTTGATAAGATAGTCATTTAATATCTGAAGTTATATACAGAAATCTTTGTAAGTCTGTAGAAGTTTAAAAGTTAGTGTCTTTTTAAGAATACTAATCTTTATTCTATTCTCTCAAGATTGATCATCTACTTCTAGAATCTTGATATCAAAATCAGAAATGAATTTTATAAGAGAAGTATTTCTCTGTCAGATACTCTGTAATTAATCTAATATCTTCTATTATATAGCAGTATCTCAGAACAGAATATTGAGATATTTAATAATATTATTAAATATTTACAACACTGATTTATATACTTTTATTTATAAATAAAACTTCTGTTTTATATGATTCTTCAATTATTTATTGATATATTAATCTTGATTAATTAATAAACTGATGATATTCTTATTCATACTTAGTTTTATAAGCATTTTCAATCTTTATAATGAATAGAGAGTGAGATCAGAAGTATTAAAATATACAGAAGTATCTAAGCATTTCTTCAGTATTTATATTATATTTATATTCAATTCTGTCAGTGTTGAAATTATCTGTATAGAGATTTCTTATTAAGATAATCATTGAATCTCTTTATATTAATGTTATTAAGTTACATGCATATCAGCTATTTATTATTATTGTAATTTTAATATTACTTAAAGTCACTGTGACACTGCATTTATACTCATATTTAAGAGTTCTCTTATATTATCATTAGACATGATTATATCAATTATCAGATATGTACTATCTGTGAAATCAGAAGAAGTATAATCATATAAATATCTTATATATCTATGTCAGAACTCTCAGGTCTTTCACTAACATTCTCTTATAAGATCTTGTTACAGAATTAGAGTAACTGATGAGTAAGCTTCTATTTAGAGACTCAGTATCTGTTTAACTATTTAATCATTTCTCTATTTCTTATATATTATTATGTGTTGAGATATCTCAGTGAGTAATCATTTCTAATAAGAAGATAATGAACATTTTTCAAGTGTAAGAAGCCTATACTGAATAGATTAGTATTATATATATAGGTCTTATATAACAAAGTGAAAAACATTAAAGAAGGAAAAGAAAGAGAAAGTGCAAGAATCAGTAATTGAAGTGAATATTTATACACATACACAGTGTGTACGCGGTGGAGCTTCAGGGCGGAAGAATAGGAATTCTGTGGGTTTTTCAGCTGAGGATTGGTGATTGAGAATGACTGAGAATCGGAGCTTTCAGCGGAATCTATGGAGTGTAATGGAATAGTCTATATGATGATCGGGCGCAGCCCTCCTTGCTTCTCACTTGTGACTTGGCTCACACCCACATACCTCAAAGCAGTCTGAACAAAATTGCCGCACAGAAAAAGTGAGGTCATATTATAGCTCTCTCCCAATGCCCTCTATTCAACATGCGCCAGAAGCGGGTCCGATAGCCTCATCTTTCTTTTCTTTGGCGGGGCCGCAGTGGGGAACATCATCTTTTTAAGGTTCAACAGTAACTAGCTCACGATTCCCGAGCTGGACAAGCTCTCCACCTCCTCCCAAGACAGACATCGTGCTGCATGTAAAATAATACAGACTATCTAGTAATAAAAGTTTCCAACTGATGGAAGAAATTCAGTGACTGCTTTTCCTAATAGGTCTTGCCGAATACAGCCTGATTTAACCCACTCATTCGACATTTGACAGGAGCTTGGCTTGTTTCTCTATACCTTGACGCTCCTGGATATTATCGCTAGAGTAAGCCGGTTTATAAAACTCTTTCTCGGTGTAAGTTACAGACAGTGTGCTGTCAACTACGTCTCTAGAGAGAAATGGTCTAAAAGACGCATGACAGCATTGGCTCCTGGTGTAGTGAAAGGCACGTTAACTCCATCTGGTGTTGAATGTCAAGTGTAGTATATGTTGTAGAAGAGGGGTGTTACGTTTAGTAGCTGAGGTGATAGTGGGAGCCACGGTACACGGTAGTCGGGTCTGCAAAGGACACACCGCGCGCACGTCTCCAAAGGCAGAGTGTAGGATAATGATATGTTCTGCAATTTTAAGGATAATCCATATACAAACATAGCCTCTGTGAGTTCCGCTTGAGAGCTTAGAGGTGAAAAAAAAAGAGGGACTTCAACAGGGCGTTGTTCAATTTCACCAATGGCAAACTTCGCACGCCAGCATTCTTGGAGATCCAATGCGAACCAACGACAACATGGGAAGGAGATCAAAACTCCCCAGCAGGAAGATGACTAGGTATGTGAAGGTAGCGTATGAAACAGTGGGAAGGCAGTGTCTGCTAAAATGAGAGAGGAAGAGGAACAGCGAGAGTTGGGGAAAAAAGAAGAGAGGAATATTATTCGCTGTCCTCCAAAAACTGGAATTCGTACTCCAAGTCGTAACAACCTAGTTGTAGGGGAAAATATAAATAAATAGCGGAAGAAAAAAAGAAGCAGAGCACCCTGACGAACTCCATGTTTCAAAACGGTGGTGGAAGAGAGTAAACCACAAGGGCTCGCAATGTATAACCCCCCAAAACAACCCAACGGTGGTTTTATTTCATGCAAAACCAACCAGAAAAAGAAACGTTATGCATCCTGATTAATTTCCAGCTCCATCATAAATTGTCGTCAATAGCCAAATGACCTTAATCTTCTATTCACCAGCTTCAATATCCCGATGTCGTGCGAGAACATGCCGCTTATATTCCTCTGGGTTGTTGTCCCAGAGCTCTGCGGCTTGACCATTTAGTGGACTTGCACTAAATCGTAGAAGAAGCTCTGGTCAGCGAGAGTCCTCCCTAAAACTTATGTCAAGTATATAATATGGTGGTCGTAGCCAAAAATAAAAGAAAGTGAAATACAATAAAATAAAAATAAAATAAAATAACAACTGACTTGTTAGGTTCCCCCAGCAAGCTCTGCAGACTCAACAGAACGCTCTGCACATTGTACACCGCACTCCACTTATCCTTCAGAATATCGAGACAGATCCGACCGGAAAAGTCGACGTTGGGGTGGTAAATGGGCGTCTTGAAGAGGACTGTCGGCGGCGCATAGGGGTAGTTTGAAGGAAAGACAAAGGAAAGCTTCAATGTGAGGCCCTCGTAGGGCGTCTCTGTTGGTCCGCTGATTGTGGCCGTCCACGAAAGTAGATTGCCATCAGCGTCTGGGAAGGCAGATATACCCGGCGAAGGAGACATCATCAACTGCATCAGTTCACTCTGTAGTCTGCATTCCACGAATTAATACTATTAGCAGGGTTACCGATGGCAGTATTGGGGTACAGAGGCATTTAGGATTCCCAGCAGTCCGGGTCAGCGCCAGGGGAACAACAACAAAAAAAGCAATAATGATTTGCTTCGCCATCGTCCCGACAGAACAAGAGCACTGTTTTCGGGCGCTTATAGGAAGAAGAAGTTCTTTCTATGACTTTTGTTGGATAGCATAAAAACGCACCGCTTCGTAACATTTTGAGTATCCGTCCTTGTCACGCCAATGCCCAGTTTTGAAGTCTCCAGGGTCACGGCGGAACCTGGGCCGGAGTTTTGGGTGTCTTCCACGTTGTAGTCCATGGCCGCGTGCTTGCTTGAGCAACTCTCTTGTTTATCCAAACGAAAACGACAATGGTAATAGGAAATGGGGAGACAAGGGGGCTTTTATAGAGGAGGCTGCGAGAGCTCTCGCTGATTGTCAATCAAGCAGCGGGGGCCGGCTGAGAGCGAGGGGGCCAGAACAAGGGTTTTGAATGCTCCTCGCGCAGCAGTCAAAGTCACCTTATGATAGCCAGGGTTAAAACAGGAAACAGGATAATGTAGGGATGATGGCATGAATTGTCAAGACTGGGGCCGGAAGAGGTTGTTGTTTCGGTTGTAGCAAACCCAGCGTTTTGGGTGAGCTTCTGGAGGTTTGTTTACCGGGCAACCAACTTCCCGCGCGCCCGCGCTGCCGCTGGTGATGATTGGTCACCGCCTACCCTCGAGGCTCCACGGCAGAAAAAACCCCAAGATGCATAATAATGTGATATCATCCTGCACACCGTTTTTCGCCAACTCAGCTCAATAATGCTTCAATCCTTCTCGCTTCGCTGTCTAACTACTATTTAGTCCAGCTAGCAAGCCCGCGTCGAAGGTTCCATATCTGCTGCGCCGTCGCTCGGTAGCTGGGAGGAGAACGCGTTGCTGTGCTGTGCCACCACCCCAACAGCTGAACCCTCCTTGTCCGGATGGGTTGTCTGAGCGCTGGCGGATTTTTCTTTTTTCTTTTCTCAGCAACTTTCTTGAAGGCTAGATAGTGGCCTAGCCGTCGCCATGAAGCACTCTCAATTGGCCCCGCTTCCCAACGACCTGCCATTTCGCATAGTGTCGAAAACAATTGGACAGGGGGCATATGCATGGTATGGTAACTTGATATATCATATACCCCGCTCTGATATTTTGTCTATCTAGAGTAAAGAAGAATACAAAAGGAAAGAAAAAAAGAAAAAAAACTAAAGAAGCTGATATCCTTTTTCCCGGCTCCCCGCTCGCAGTATCAAAAGGGCATGCCCGCTCCAGAGCGACTCGCCTATATTCGCAGTTAAATTCATCCACAAGGATTACGCAGCTCGACATGGGCGTATCACTAGTAAACAACTACAAATGGAGGTGGCCCTGCATAAACACATTGGACGCCACAATAACATCATCTACTTCCACGAAACCGGTGAGGATGATTGCTGGCGGTGGATAGCCATGGAATTAGCTGAAGGGGGCGACTTGTTTGACAAGATCGAGGCTGACGAGGGAGTCGGGGAAGATATCGCCCACGTCTACTTCTGTCAGCTGGTAAATGCAGTTGGATACATGCATTCCAAGGGCGTGGCCCATCGGGATATCAAACCCGAGAACATTCTTCTCTCCGCGGATGGCAATTTGAAAATAGCCGATTTTGGACTAGCTACGCTGTATGAGTACCGTGGAGAGACGAAGCTGAGCTCAACCCTGTGCGGCAGCCCGCCCTACATCGCCCCCGAGGTGGTGAAGTGCAGTAGCAGAGGTAAGTCCAAGGGCGATGGTTACAGAGCAGATGTTGTGGATATCTGGTCCTGTGGAGTGGTTCTCTTTGTCCTCCTTGTTGGCAATACACCCTGGGATAGCCCAACGGATGAGAGTTATGAATTTGTCGAGTATGTGAAAACAAACTCCAAACCAACGGATGAGCTGTGGGAACGATTACCCGTTGCTGTACTGTCTCTCCTTCGGGGAATGATGAAGATCGACACCGCGAAGAGGTTCACTATGGATGATATCCGTAGACACCCATGGTTTACACGGGAGAATCCTTACATGTGTGCGGATAACAGGTTATCCAACCCTTTAAATCTAGCTACCACCATGTTCGAATCATTACATATTGATTTCAACAGAGATCCGCTATCTCTTTCTTCTCAGCCTCAGCGCACTGCTACGGATACCAGCGCCATGGATCTAGATGAACCAGGGTCGTCTATGAAGCCTAGATTTTCATCCACTCAACCCGATTATCCTGTCGAGGACATGCTAGATTGGGATGGACCCCCCCGCTTATCATCGCAATCTGCCTTCTCCCAACCCAAGTCAATGGATTCGGATCATGTTATGCTCCTCACAGAACGTTTATCTCAAGACCCGTCAATGTCTCAATTCTCCACGACCCCCTCCGTCCCCATCAGTCGAACGCAGAACGCACAGAACTTCCAGGATATCGTTCCTGCATCTCGCCTGACCCGGTTTGCCTCGACATGGCCTCTTGGGTTACTGGTAACACGCGTCTGTGAAGCCCTCCAGCTGCTGCATGTGCCAGCATCCCCGACATCATCTGATTCTGCTGACGCGATAGTCATCCGGATACGGACGCAGGATGACAGGAAGTGCCCCCTCCACGGCAATATTATTATTGAAAGTATCACGGATGGGCATGCGGAGGTTGAATTTGTTAAGGTAAAAGGCGATCCGCTGGAATGGAGAAGGTTCTTCAAGAAGGTGACTATTCTTTGCAAGGATGCGGTGTTTAAACCCGATACATAGAGCAATGTTCTGGATACATATAATTACGACGTTGATGTACGCGGAATCGCAAGTGCGGTGATCTATATGTTGGATTTATACGGAGTAATGATAATAAATGATGATGTTGGGGTAATGCCATATATAGTTATCTTTGTCCACTTCCATATCTGCATGGGATCGGAAGGGCGTGGAGGAATCACATGACCTGCAACTCGAACCAACTCTTGCTTCCAAGCTAAAAAGCTGCATTGAGGGGAATCTCGAACCTGGAACTGGAATTTACCCGCAATGCATCTGCTGCTGTTGTTCTCGTTGTGTGCCTTTGTGTTACATATGTTGTCTCCCGGATACTTGAGTGTAAGCTCACAATAACACCCGACTCTCGCTTCGGCACCCAGCCGTCAACATTAGAGCTGACCCATCGTCGATAGATATCGGCCCAAGCGAACTGGCTGCCCTCCAGGTTGTCTCCAGGCGGCTCTTTAACATATGCCGCGACAATTCGATATGGCGCCAACACTGCTATGAGGCAGCTAACCATAAATTACAAGATCGCAATGCTTTGTTTCACAATCGGAGGCCCAACACCAACAGCGCCAACAACCCAGGCTCCGTTATAGATGCATTGCTGACGGGCCATGTTCAAGGTGGCAGCATTACGGAATCATCCGAGTCCGCGCATGCGGATGCAGACGGAGCCCATGACAGACGGACCAGCCCACCCGCCAGCTCTGCGAGCCACTGGGATCCTTCCTACGAGGGGGAGGAAGTCGACTGGTATTCAGAATACATCGCTCGGAATGCCCCCATTTCCATCCAGTGGCTGCAAGAGCCGTATGCAGCTGCGGACCAAGATGGGGATGATGCCATTATTCAACGTGAAGTCAAGGGTATGGGTCTTTTGAAAGATTACCGCTACGGAGGATCAGATAAGATAATCGGGCCCCTCGATGACGGGACGCTCTGTCTGTGGGATCTTAACCGGTCGAGCCTGTGTAAACGTAATACGAGAGGGAAAATTGTTGAGACAAGTGCACGGGGTGCCCTTACGACGGATTCATCAAGACGAGCACATGAGCCCTTCTCCTCAAGGCCGACGAACCTCGACTTCATAAGCATTGGGGAATGTGTGAGCGTCGATTCATTCCACCAGGCTGCCTATATCGCGGTAGGTAACATTTTGAATGAGGTTGATCTATCCACTCTTCAGGTAGTATCGCAGCAGAAATACCCGTGGTCGATATTCGCGCTTTCTCAGGAAACTGAGTATGCAGCGCCATTGACCGTGGGCACTACCCGGAGCCTCAATATCTATGATCCTAGGTTCTGTGGTGCCGGATCAGATACTAGGATACACTACCCCATGCCTCCTTACAACAGTAGATTCGTATCATTGTTCCAGCCTGTTCCTCTTTCGGTGTTACACACACCCCCGCCGAATATAAACTCAATCGTGGTTGCCGGGCGCTTTTCAGCGATCTTGCTATATGATCGCCGCAACCTGTCTAGTTTACTGAGCACTGCCCACTCGGGTGCACGAATATGTAGCTTGACAGCTATCCCAGCTTGCCCCCGGCCGTACTCGGTAACATGCCCCGAGCTACAAAATAACCACACCATCGTTGCAGCTGGCGAGTACAAGGGACGCGGGTCTCTTGAAATGTTCTCGGCTTCTACTCCTTCCACCCCCGGAGATTTCCAAACCCAGAAACGCTCATTACTTGTAAAGGACGGTATCTGTCTCAATCGGCAGAGTGCTTCTGGCTCGAAGCTTTTGTCCGTGGCGGTCCATGGCACTCGTCTCGTCTTCACTGACGCGAATGGGTATATCAAATGGGTCGAACGAGACGGTCGAACCGAAGTACGACGATGGAACCTGAGCAACGACACCAAACATCGCAGACGTCAACTAGACTCAACGCACCCAATTCCATCGAGCTCACATGATCTGGAATATTACAGGCGGACCGATGAGTATGCTACCGGTGACTCCGATATCGTTCGTAAAATCCTGCCCACAGGCTACAGCGATGTGCTAGACGACGAGCTCCTCATTTGGACCGGAGACAGGATTGGTCGTCTGCGCTTTTCGAGTAAAGCTGGCCATGACTGGAATAAGGAGGCTGAGATCTATGAAGAAGAAATGGCAGAGGCTGCAAGGCGCGATGAGGAGCGTAAGAGGGCTCTGTACGCGGAGACTGTTTTTAAGTCATTTCGAACGCACCAGCAAGAACTTACGTGGATGGGGGATTTTGGGATGGGAGCATGAGAATTTGCGTGCCATAAATGTATATAACTTTTGGAATCTAGTTTTCTATTTGGTTAAGATATATAAAGGATGGGTGATTTGCGAGATTAGGGAAGAAGGTATGATGAGATTGTTGGTCTTGGATACAGTTTTTGATATATATGGTTTATTATAGGCGCTTGTCGCATTTTTTTTTTTTTTTTTTATAACAGTCGATAATTAATCTAAGCCGAATTATGTGGATTGGTTTGTTACGACTTTTCCGTATATATTATTATTATTCCCTTACTGCTAGCTATTCTGTGCAAGCAAAAGCACTGGCATTTTGACGGAGGTTTGTCACCCGCCCCCGTTAGTTAGGCGCAGCGCTGGCCGAGGCTCATTGCGGCATGTGGCGGGAATATGTAAAATATTCCGCCCGAAATAAGAAAACAATTATTAATTCCTCTCATAATCAATCTCTTGCGATCCTCGTACCCGCTTGGAACACCGCTTTATTTTCTTTGCCCGTCTCATTCTACTATATATATGTGCGTGTGTACATATATTATTTTGGATACCACTGTCACGATCATTGATGTTCTTCTAGTTCCCTTCGTTTTTTTGACCCTTCTCAATCGATTGATTCCCGTCAGCATTCCGCCTCCGCCAAATTCAGCCAGAAAGCCCAATTTGTGGCGCGCGCCGAGTTCAACACAGAGAAAAGCATTTCGTCGCATCGTTGACATTTCCCTGTATATATTAATTGCTTCCCGTCAAGGCACCTCTTTGCCCATTGTTCTCCCCCGCCGTCGAACTGCCGAACGGACTTCCGCGCAGAGCAAACTCGCATTGGAAACGGACGAATTAGCTTTTTCTCACCTTATTTATTACCTGAGACCAAAGGAGTAGTGCTCTGCCAGGCTCTTGCTTAGCTTTCTGGCGCTGTTGCTGTGACTGGACGAGTTTCCGCACGCCCCCAAATCGCATTACATCTCTAGCAGCTCAGCTGTTAACGGAGAAGACACAACCGCACCCCATGCCTTCAAAAACAGACGAGAACCTGCGGTTCAGCACGATTGAGGAGTCGATAGAGGCGTTCAGTAAGAAGACATGCTGTTTTTCTCCTAATTCCTGGGAAAATTTGCCCCTCCATGAACCACGCTCGATTTTGCGGGGTCAAACTCGGGAACCACTCCGGAAAAAGCTGGAAGAGAAAGGAGCTAAGACAGAGATAAGAAAGCTAACAGGTGCGTTTTCTACTATATGTAGGAAATGGAGAGTTCATCGTAGTCCTCGATTCGCAAAACCGGGAGAATGAAGGGGATCTGATCATTTCTGCGGACTCGGTGACTGCGGCCAGGATGGCGTTCATGATACGGTGGAGCAGGTATGTGTTACACACATTATATTTCACTTCTCGTTTAAGATCCAATTGAGAGAAAAAGAAAGCAAGTATCTAACCAACAATAAATCCAGCGGCTATATCTGCGCCCCCATCCCCGCCTCCCTCTGCACGCATCTATATCTCCCACAAATGGTCGTCGAGAATGCCGATCCAAACGGCACAGCCTACACAATCACTATTGACGCCACCGACCCGTCCGTCACCACGGGTATCTCTGCCCATGACCGTGCTCTTACCTGCCGCACCCTCGCCCGCCCAGACGTCCAGCCCTCCCACTTCCGCCGACCAGGACACATCCTACCCTTACAAGCTAGACCTGGCGGCGTCCTTGAGAGACCCGGCCATACGGAGGCGGCGTTGGACTTCTGCCGGCTGGCAGGGAAGCCAGAGGCGGCTGTTATCTGTGAGCTTGTTGAGGATGGAGTGGAGGTGGAAGGGGTGCCGGCGATGGAGGGGAATGGGATGATGCGGGGCAAGAGATGTTTGGAGTTTGGAAAACGGTGGGGTCTAAAGGTTTGTACGATTGAGGATTTGAGGGAGTATTTGATGAAAGAAGGAGGTGTGGAGGTGAATGGGAAACATTAGACTTTTTGTGCGACTGCGATTGTCGTTGCTTGTTTTGATAGGGCCTTTTGGGTTGTATTTTATCATTTCATCCTCAGTGTTCATATTACGCCGTACTTCTATACCCCGTCGACAGCTCTGTTGTATTGGTCTTTTCTTGCTGTGCTTGAAATTTGTGACCCCTCTCCATCAAAAAGAAAGGAATTCACTAGTGAGCAGCGACCAGCTAGACCTTGTTCGGATTTTTGGTTTCTCAATTCCCTAGTTAACTAGACATAGAGAGTTGGTTTGGTTTTGAATGTTCCAATCAGTACAGCTTGCTAGAGCGTTCAAGCGGAGATAGGAAGATGTAAGGAATGCAGCTCCCACCTGGTGAGGTGATGTTTGTTTATTGACTATAACTGAAATCCATTAAGCCTGGAGAGCATTACCATATACATAAAAGCTCAATCCTAGGGCCAAAAAAAAAGGGAAGAAAGAAACAATATACGGACGCTAACTCCGTTCCGTAACATTATAAAAGACAACCCCACCATTCTTGTTCCGTGTGTCTTCTGTTACCCTTGCAGCTATTTCAGAAAAAAAAGTTTGCATAAAGCAAAGATACAAAATCTATCGTGGCATCTATAAGTTAATTCATCATCTCTTCAGGTGGGAGTAATCCCTCAACACCCCTACCATATGTGTATTAGTAGTCTTCCCACTGCGTCGTGCCTTCTTCACCTTCTTATGCTCGATCTTTGGTTTTGGTTTGGCCACCTTATTCTTGCTTGTTGATGTAATTCCAGCCTTCTCCAACTCTTCAGTTACCGCCTGTTGGTCGGGTATCTTGATCTTCTCCCAGATTTGCCGGAACTCGGGATCAAAATGCTGAATGAGTGAAGGATCATTCGCCCACACCATCTTGGGGTGGTCGTCCTTCTTATTTCGAGTAACAAGCAGTTTTCCTTCCTTCTCTAGCTTATCGATAGTCTGAACAATATTGGGCCACCCTTCCCGTAGCTCACGCACACTCATGCCCTGCGCCGTCGGCTGGGATTGAAGCTTTCGAAGCAATTGCTCGGCTGAGCGGATATTATGCGGAGGCTTAAACCGGAAGGTACCCTCCCCATTAGCACCCGAAGGATCATATTCCACCTTATCGTGAGACTGGAGAATGCGCTTCAGTGCCTGAATGTAGCCCGGGTCATGTCCCTGCTGCTGGAGCGAGAGGTAGGAGAGGATATCCGCAAACTTGAGCGCGTAGTCCTTGCTTTTCATATGGTCGATAGCGAACACGACCTGGGTCATGATATCTTTCCCCGTGCCGGTGTTGGCCGGTTGAGAATAGATGGTATCCGCATCATGTCGGCGGCCACTCGCAGCGGGTGTACTGGAATAAGATCTAGCAGCTTGTGCGCTGGCAGCTGCAGTAACAACGGATGATGATGCAGCAGCAGCGAGGTTGCTTCCGGCCGTTCGTCGATCTTGTGGAAGACGATTTGCAGCAGACACGACGCTGCTGTTGAACGAGCTGATCTGGTTCTGAAAGTAGGACATGATGCGAGCGAGAATGTGAAAAAGACGGAGTGACGCAGTAAGCCGCTGCTCAGTGTTCGCTACGAGGTTGGCTGGGCCATCCACATTGTCTGCAAGCTTGTAATCGCAGCTGTGATGCGGGTGAATGGATGAAGAGTAAATCAAAGACTTGAATGTCCTGTGTGATCAGATTGATTCATCCCCGATGTGATGTTGGTAGGTCTTCTGGGCCTGTTGAGGCGAATACATGCCCTTGCCTGAGATCACGTGATAGTTATTACTTACCCTTCAGTCACGTGACTCTCTTCTCTGCCAATCCAGGTTGTTTGGCCTGCGATAATCAACAAACGGAGAGCTGTCAAGCCTTCTACTAGGTCACTGCTTCATGCTTTTCAAGCTACGGATCTTATCCCTAGTTGCCTCGCCATGAGATAAAAATCATTTTTTATATGGGCGCTGTGTCTTACAACTTTATTGCATAAGCAGTACCAGCAACCGCCCATATTCTGATTTGTTTTGATCTGGGAAGCCCTCCGGTCGAGCTCGTCAGCGCAGAAAGACGGCTATCTGCGTGGCCTGTTACGCCTAAATTTTAATCATAAGAGCAAGCTTGCTCTTTGGTTGCAGTCATGGCTACCGCCGAGGTCGATATTCCCTTCCTCTCCTCCCATTACTCCATTCCCGAAACCACTCTCACTACTTTGTCGCAAAATCCCACAATAGAGCTAGTCAATCAGCTCCTGGAAAGCATCTCCACCAAGGCTCACGAGGCAGAGGAACTGAAATCTGATAAACTACGGCTGGATGTTGAGCTCGAAAATGCTGTTCGCAGTGGGGAATCAAAAGTGAAGGTTCTTAAAAACTCTGTCGAAAAAGGGTTGGCGGAAATCACCAGTCTTCGCGGCAAGCTTCAAGAATCAGGTAATATTTCATTGCTAGTTATTGCTTGTTAATCTACTAACAAAATTGAAATAGAAAATACGCGATCGAACTTAGAATCCGAACTCGCGACTCTGAGGTCATCTACTAGTACCAGTGAATCTGAGCTTAGTAGCCTAAAAGCCCGAATCACTTCGTTGGAGACTTCAAATCGCGATACTCTCGCACTACTGGACTCCAAATCCAATGCGTATGATAAACTAGCGGAGGAACTATCGACTCAGCATAAGAAAACAATCGAATTACGACGCGAGGTCTCGAGTCTGGAACAAAAGTTACAGGCCGCGAACTCAGCCTCCTCAAGCACGCGTTTCCGCGAACAAAGCCTCCAGCAAGAGCTAGAACTTTTGAAGAAGAATAACGAATGGTTCGAAAACGAGCTGAAAACTAAATCCGGCGAGTATCTGAAGTTCCGGAAGGAGAAGAGCGCTCGCATATCTGAGCTGCAACGGCTAAACGAGGATGCTAGCTCTAATATCGATGCCTTACGGCGAAGCGAGAACGCGCTCAAATCCCGCCTGGATGAGGTTGAGCAAAAATATGAAGACTCACTGGCCACCATTCAACAGCTCAAGGAAGAAGCCATTCAGGCCACAGAATCTTTCCGAATCGAACTTGATAGCTCGAGTAGGCTAGCGCAATTGCAACAGACATCCGCGGAGACTGCAAAGCGACGTGTGCAGGAATGTCAATTAGCCCTAGAAAAGACAAGAGATGACGCTGCAGAAGAGATCTCGAGGTTACGCGCGGAGATTGAAACAGAGCATTCTGACAAAGAGGCCGCGGAACGCCGTGTTGCGGAGCTTGAACTTAATGTCAGAGAGCTACAATCGGAAATTTCAGCCGCGCGTAATCAACCAATGAGTCCTGGTCAGGGAGTGAATGGAGCTGGTATTTCCACGCCCCTCAGGCCAAGCACCCCTGTTGGCACTTTCTCACCGAGGGCTTCGCGTTCTAAGGGCGGTTTAACCCTAACGCAAATGTACAGCGAATACGATAAGATGCGGACGCTTCTCGCTACCGAACAACGAAATAACCAAGAGCTAAGGGCTACTATGGATGAAATGGTACAGGATCTTGAGTCAAGCAAACCTGAAATTGATGAGCTTCGGGCGGATCATTCACGGTTGGAGGCTGCAGTTGTAGAAATGTCCAATATCCTGGACACGGCTGGGAAGGAGAGAGATGACGCAACGAGGGAAGCGCGGAAGTGGCAGGGACAGGTGGAAGGATTGGAGCGTGAAGGACAGATATTGAGACAGCAGCTAAGGGATCTGAGTTGCCAGGTTAAGGTCTTAGTTATGGAGGTACATTTACTTGGGTCAGACGAGAAGGATTACGACAGGGAAGAGCTAGAGAAGATAGCCCAGGGCGAAATGGATGATATAGCGCAGGACTTGAACGAAACTGGCCGCTTTATTACACGACACTTGACGACATTCAAGAATTTGAATGAACTCCAACAGCAAAACGTCACACTACGCAGGATGCTCCGGGATGTCGGTGATAAGATGGAGGGAGAGGAGGCTCGACGGAAAAACGAATCTTACCAGAAGGATCAAGAAGAACTGAAGGAGCTGCGTGTTAGGGTCCAAACATATCGGGACGAAATGGCAAACCTTATTGCTCAGACAAAGAGTTATATCAAGGAAAGAGACACGTTCCGCAGCATGCTTACACGTCGCCGAGAGACCGGAGAATCAACATCCCCCTTTTCACAGTCTCTTCCATTGGGTGCAGTGGCTCCTGTTGCTGTAGGAGATAACGTTTCGCAGTCCCTAGAGGCTCCAAACTATACGGAGCTTCTGCGAAAGCTGCAAGCTAACTTTGATTCATTCCGGCAAGAAACAGCCACCGACCATTCATCCCTAAAACAGCAAGTTAATGATCTTACGAGGAAAAATAGTGAGCTGCAAAGCGAGATCAGTCGCTCAAGTAGCCAGTTGGCGGCCGCCGTCCAGCGCGCTGAACTCCTCCAATCCAACTTCAATTTACTTAAGGGAGAAAATGTTGAGCTTCAGAAACGGCACGCGACTCTCATGGAAAATGCGAACAAACAGGACTTAAGGACTCAACAAGTGGCGGAGGATTTGGTGGAGGCAAGAGGGCTCGTTGATAGTCTGCGAAGAGAATCGGCAAATTTGAAGGCGGAAAAAGACCTCTGGAAAAAGATCGAGAAACGATTGGTGGAGGACAATGAATCTTTGTTCAACGAACGTGCACGCCTCGATTCTCTTAATGCGAACCTCCAATCTATGCTGAATGAACGGGAACACCTGGAATCTGAAAGCCGCCGGCGCCTTCAGTCAACGGTTGAGAACTTGGAATCTGAACTGCAAACCACCAAGCGAAAACTCAACGAGGAAATGGAGGAAGCTAAGAAATCAACGCTACGGAGAGAGTATGAAAACAGCCAAAATCAAAAGAGAATTGACGATTTAGTTACCAGCCTTAGCACGGTCCGTGAAGAACTCATCGGCACGAAATCCACCCGTGACCATTTGCAATCAAGAGTTGACGAGCTATCTGTCGAGCTTAAGAGTGCGGAAGAACGACTGGAAGTTTTGCAACGGAAGCCCAGCGCTGCTACTGCTACTGTTCCCTCTGGTCCTGATACCGAAGCTGGGATCGCAGCGGGTGAGGGTGGGCTGAGTCGAGAGCAAGAGTTGGCCTTTGAAATTTCCGAATTAAAACGGGATCTTGAATTGGCTAAATCTGACCTCGAACACGCGAAGGAGCAGGTGGAGGATTACAAGGCCATCAGTCAATCCACTGAGGAGCGTCTTCAATCGGTCACTGATACAAATGAACAATATCAAGAAGACACCAATCGTTTGCTTGACGAGAAGGATAACAAAATATCTGAACTGCAAAAGCGTGTCGAGGAAATTACCTCTGAGCTTGCTATGACCAATGATGAACTCTCAAAACTACGTGACCGGGAAGCTGACTCCCAACGCCGGTTCGATGATCAAAAGTCAATGCTGGAGACCGAAATTTCCAGACTCAAAGAGCAAGAAGAACGATATACGGCTGCTGCTCAGTACCATCAACAAGATCTCAAAGCCCAGGCCGAAATTGCCCAGCATGCTCAACAAAATTACGAAAACGAGCTAGTGAAACATGCCGAAGCAGCCAAAAATCTGCAAATTGTTAGAGCAGAAGCCAGTCAGCTTAAACTTGAAGTCGTCGACTTAAGAACCCAAGCTGAATCCGCCAAAAATAGCCTTTCGCGGGAGGAAGAAAACTGGAATGAAATGAAAGCTAGATACGAAAGAGAAATAACGGAGCTTAATCGACGTCGCGAGGAAGTTGTCAATCAAAATACTCTGCTTCACCAGCAACTTGAAAACATTACCCGGCAAATTTCAACTCTGCAGCGCGACAAGGAGAGTATGCCAGAAGATGTTGACGAGTCAGGATCGTCAGCATCTAGCCTAGAAGGACTACAAGAGGTTATTAAATTCCTGCGAAGAGAGAAGGAAATTGTTGATGTTCAATACCATTTATCGACTCAGGAAGCCAAACGCCTTCGCCAACAGCTCGACTACACGCAATCTCAACTCGATGATACTCGGCTCAAGCTTGAACAACAACGTCGTGCTGAAGCTGATACTGAACATAATACCTTGAACCATAAAAAGCTAATGGATACTCTCAATGAACTTAACCTCTTCAGGGAAAGCAGTGTCACCCTCAGGAACCAAGCGAAACAAGCAGAAACTGCCCTAACAGAGAAGTCTGCTCGTGTGGAAGAACTGATACAACAAATAAGTCCGCTGGAAACTCGTATTCGAGAACTGGAGAACATCGTGGAAACGAAGGATGGAGAGTTCAAACTACTACAGGCAGATAGGGACAGATGGCAGCAACGGACTCAAAACATTCTACAGAAATATGACCGTATCGACCCTGTGGAAATGGAAGCGCTCAAGGAGAAGCTTACTGCACTAGAAAAAGAGCGCGACGAAGCTGTTTCTGCTAGAGATGAACTTCAGACCCAAATAACAACATTGTCAGCCCAGGTTAAGCAAGGAGAGGAACGGATTCAAATCATGCGTTCAACCCTCACGGATCAATTTAAAGCAAGGTCGAAGGAACTCTCTTCTCGGGTTCAGGCCAAACAAGCGGAGCTAAATACGGCAATTCAGGAAAAGGAGGTTATCCAACTTGAATTGGATCGCACGAGGGGAGAACTGAATGCGCTGAAGGCGAAGGTACCAGAGGATGGAGCCCCCACTCACACTCCAGCTCCCGCCCCCGTAAACCAAAGCGTTACGGATGCCCAAAGGCCACCTGCTGTCCAGGGGACGGTGCCTGCAGCGAACGACAGCGCAGCTGCTGAGAAAATTAAAGCCCTCGAGGAGAAGATCCGAAGACTGGAGGCTGCACTTGCTGAGAAGGAAGCGACAATCGATCAAAAAGTCAAGGAACGGGTTGATAAGATGAAGCAGACGTTGAATAACAGTCTTGCTGAGTACAAGGCAATCCACAAAGAGGAGGTTGAAAAACTTAAAGCGAGTCACCAGCAAGAACTAGAGTCTGCGACCGCGTCGGCTTCTAAACCGGATGGCGTTCCCGAGCTTAGTGATGCTCAGGCAAGGGAGCTGGTAGCTAAGAACGAGACCATCAGAGCGATCGTTCGCAATAACATCAAGAATGCCGTGACTAAAGAAAGAGCAGCTATGGCGAGCAAGGAGGCGCAAGTTGCAGCGGCACCAAATGCCGACGCCATCAGGGAGTTGGAGAAGAAGTTCAGTGAGGAAAGGGAGGCGATTATTAAGGAACGAGATCAGAAAATTGGCTCTGCTGTTGAGCTAGCTGAGAAGAGAGTGTTGGCGAAGCTGAGCATGACTGAGGGACGTGCGAGAAATGCGCAGGCTAAAATCGAAGTTGTTCAGAAGGCGGCCATTGAAACACCACAAAAGCCTATTGTTGAAGTTTGGGAGATTGCTAAAGTTGCGCGGCCAGCGCCAGTAGCAGCGGTGGCCCAACCGCCTACCGCCCAAGCCCAACCTCCGCCTCCCACTCCTGTTCAGTCACCAGCGCCAAAACCAGCACGAACTGAACATCCTGACGGTGCTCCAACCCCGACCTCACAGGCACAAACTCCTCAACCGCAAACACAAGTGCAACCTCAACCTCAACCCCCTCAACCATCTCAAACGCCTCAACCACAACCATCTCCGTCTCCTGCCCCTGCTCAACGCGCACCTCCTGCTGCGGCTGCTGCAAGTCCGAAACCTAAGCAGGCGACTCCTGCACGAGCCCCTCAATCACAACAACAGTCCCCACAATTACAGCAGCAGCAACAGCCCCCACCGCCAGACAAAACCAACCAAGCAGCTCCCGCTCAACAAGTGAACCAACCCCAGACTGCGTCATCTCTCCCTAACAGGCCTCCGCAGAGCAATCACCCAGCAAGTGGTACCGGCGCGAATGTGCTTCGCGCGCTCCACTCTGGGCTTCCAATTTCTCGGGGGGGTAGAGGGCGCGGAGTACCACCTAGCCAGCAACACAATCCGTTCGGCCCGCAAGCTACCGAGCAGCAAGGAGGTCAGGGTCAACCACCTCAACAGCAGCCGCAACAGGGCATAGGTCGAGGCTCCGGTTTACCGCGAGGCGGCGCCCGGGGCCGAGGTGCTCAAGGTCGCGGTGGCGCTCAAAACGTTCAGACCGGCAATCTACCCCAGGGTCAAGGGCAGCCGAGTCCCAGAGGTGGACGTGGTGCACTCAATGCTCACGCCCGTCAGTTTATTCCTCAGGGCAACAAGCGAGCCAGAGATGATGGTGGGGAAGGTGGTGATAGTGGAAGTGGGAAGAGGATTCGTGGAGGCGGTGCGGGATCTTAGGGACCTTTGTGTGGACCAGTCAGTGGGATATATCATTTACATTTTGTTTGATCCTAGAGGTCACTGATTTTTCATTTGTATTTTCCTACCTTTCTATTTTGTTTCGTTGTTTCAGGGGTGATATTTTGAACACCGGGAGCGTTCTTTTTATTTTACTTTTTTCTTTTCTATCATTATAATTTCTGTTCTGGCGTCCCGTTTTCTTTTCTTTGGTTTTTTTTTTGTGACATCCTATTTCCTGATTTTCCCCGATCTCCCCTTGCAAGGCGAGGGAACAAAGCGGACGAGATTTCTATCCATATCTACTTTGTATGTATGTACTCTATTCGGATCGAAAAGCATGTGCATGGGCTTTCATAGGGTCATAGGGGCCTCTTATCATATTTATTCTCCATCTTCTAGCAGTATTTTTCTAGAAACCGTAAACATTGGTAGTATTCCGCAGGGTATCCAGGACGCTAAATCGCAAACAAACAAGGCTGAGCAAGCAAGCTACGCCCTCTGAGATGAGAAACAAAAAACAAGAAATATTTATCCCAATAAAAAAGAAAAATACCAAACCTCACCTCCTCCTCCCTCCCCCACCAATACTCCCAGCCCCGATCAACTTCACCAACCCTTCCCTCTCCTTCTCCAGCACCCCTAACCGACCCTTTTCCACGACAGCTCCCCCCAACCCAAATCCAAGCTCTGTCTCATCACTATTATACTGTTGCGCTTGTCCATTGGCCCTTTTCCGTCTCTGTAACTGGCTCCCACCAGCACCAGTATTACCACTACTCCCACCCCATATCACAATCCAACTGCCAACGGCCCCATCGTCCGGAATGCAACAGCTGGGACAGACCTTCGCGTGCTGGCCGACGCGCACGCGCCGGCCCAGGACGGCAGCGGTATCCACTGTTGCGGAGGAGGAAATGTGGGTGCCAGCGCTGACGGTGGTAAGGGGTCCGATGAGGACGGAGTTTTCTAGGATTGTCGTCGTCGTTGCTGTTGTTGTTGGTGGTGGTGGTGGTGGTGCTATGGTGAAGGATCCGGTGTCTATTGCGGCTGCGGTTGGTGAGGTTGGCGAAGTTTGCGGCCCGCCAATTACGGATTTTTCGCCTATGATGCAGCCGCTTCCGATTTTAATGGGTCCCTCGAAGGAGAGGAATTTGGTTCGCGGGTGTATTACGGTGCCTGCACCGATGGAGATGGGGTGGATGCCCTGGAAGCTGGCGGATTCGGAGATGGTTGTGGAAGGATGCGCGGTTACCGGGGGTTTGTAGCTTGGGGTGGAGGGTTTGTGGGAGGAGGAGGAGTGGCGGGAGGAAGAGGGTTTGAGGTGAGCTGGGTTTGTGGACATAATTGCTGCTGTGTAGTCTTGTTATGGCAAGGGATAATGGTTTGAAAAATCGTGAATCTGGGCGATGTCTGTTGTTCTGGCGTTGATTGAAGTTGTTGTCTCTTATCGATAACGAGTGTGCAGACGGGCTACGTCAGATAGTTATACAAGTTGAAAGGCTTCTCTAATGGGATATCTAAATATATATCATCCTAACTCTATCCTATCTGTCTAATAGCCTGCTATTCGACTTCTGCTCCTTGTCCTTTATCCGCACCTGTAGTAATATTCATCCTCTTCCTCCAGTCCCAGACACCGCGATCTACCTCCTCGCGCGTCATCCCATCCCGCACCAGACAGAACGAAACCCCCAATTCCGTCTGCACATTTCGATTCCTAGCCTCGTCGTCAAAAAACAACATATCCTCATACCGTATGCCACTCGCCTGCTGTATTCGTGTGAAATGCTGCGCCTTATCCCCAGGGAAAATCTGAATGTAGTCAAAAAAGTCCAGGGCGCGGACGGAGCGATTGTTTGCTGCCGCCGGGTTATCCGAGAAGGACGGGATGATGTATAGTGTTTTAAGCATATCTCGAGCGAGGTCTGGGGCGTGAGTCCTCGATGCAAGGCCTAAGGGTATAGATCGCGAGCGGCATGCGTGTAGGATGGAGGATACGGCGGGGTAAAATGCGAAAGATTCACCCCACCTATATATACCCAACACCGAAATCAAAGAACAAAAAAACGTCAGTCGCAAGTAGGATGACTATAGTTATATCTCATTCATCTACAAAGTACAGCAGGTATAGTCACGTTCAATCTGTGACGGTGACGGCGAGCGGGAAACAGAGCGTGAAAAGAAGAAGGAAGATATTAAAAAGGGCCGGCCAGCCATACCTATCCACGCATCGCGAATTATTGTCCTTTGCTTTCAGCGGCGGACTAACGTGTGTGTCGACCCAAAACGGCCACAAGGTATAATCCAGATCAAAAACAAAGAGTTTAGGCAACGGGAGCCCGTCATTGAAGGTCGATGGCGCAACCGTAGGATCTTCGAGGGCTGGCTGGGCTTTTGCTTCTGAGCCGCCGCCTTTTGTTCTGGCCATTTGGGTGGCCTGAGTGTATTATCAAGACAAAATATCAACGGCGTGTGAAGAACCTGGCCCCTACAAACGAGATGGGAGGAAACTAATGATAAGGTCTAGGATGGGATAGTTACTGTAAATCCTCTCTCAACGTGAGTTTCGCAATGCCGCCGGCGTCTGTAGCCGAACCCAAGCGAGCAGTACGTTCTGTCACGAAGAAGAGTAGGATCGTGGAAATCATGTCATTTTTTTAATTATGATAAATAGTTAGCTATATAAAACTAGTTTCTGTATAATTGCTAAAATGCAGTTCCTAATAAAAAAAACCAACAGCTAGAAAATAAAAAAAAAAAAATGTATCTGGGTATATATAAATATGCCATGCCACAAGTCAGTTATAATATCATATCGTATCTCATCACGCCTGATAAAATAGCGAAAAACATAGTTGTCGATTCCATGCTAAGCAAGCAATCAGTTGTTCCACATTCCCCTCTCTCCATTTGCTTCTATCTTCACATCAACACAGTAAAAATGCCCTAGCGTCCTTTTCCCCCGTCCCTAAAAGAATTCTACAAATTCTTTAAACTCTTCCAAGAGCGACATATCGACCGCCTCCCACCCGGTCGGGCCGCCACTGCCATTTTCTAAGCTCCGGCCCTCCTCTGTGTTATCCTTAGCGGATGGGTTATCGACGATATCAGGGAAATGGTCTAAAGTGGTGGCTGTGGTGAGAGGACGAGGGGAACCGGCTGTTGTACCGCCAGTTTCCGCAGCGCTATTCTTGCGCCTTTTCTTCGAGGTGGTATTTTCGGTGTCGTAGCCATAGTCGCCATCGCTGATCATGGGGTCATTGACTACTGCGGAACCGTAGGGACGTTTGATACATGATGAGGATGGGAGGGTGTTTTCCTTGTTGTAGGGATTATGATTAATGATGAGATCGTTAGAATCAGGAGCGTTGTTGTCGAGGGCGGTAGAATTGAATTCATGTAATGGGAATAAGGTGGTGGTCGAAGTGCGTTCAGTAGAAATAGAGTCGTTTGTTCGAAGTGTAGCTGGCTTCGTTGTTGACGACGATAGGAAGGAATCATATGTGCTCGAGTCCTTCTCTGGACTTAACGTGGGTTTGTCACTGATATCATCGACAAAATATGTCTTGCTATCCGCTTTCATCAGAGCTAGGGGAGAAATTGTATCGTCCCTGCAGTCTCCGTCATCAAGCTCATGGAACGTGATATCTTCGTTATCTACGAATATGTCAACACCTGCATTCGTTGCTTTTTTCTTCCCTTTCTTCAGGCAGGAGAGCAATAAAGTATTGGGGGACGGAAGATCTTCATCAATCCACGAAGTTCCGTAATCGCTGGAATATTCTTTTCTTCCGAAGGGTGTTTCTGGTTCCTGAAATTCACACTCGTCGAGAAACGACAGGCCTAATGGGCTATGTTTAGAGAGCGGATATGATGTGGGTGTTGACATTTTGCTGCTCGATCCCCCCTTTCTTATACTATCGTCGATACGGCACTGTTTCCGGGCTCTTGTGTCTTTCTTAGAACGGGTGGTAGTGGTAATCGTATCAGGCTTGCAACCTATATCGCTGTCGTCGCATAGGTCAACAAATTCAACTTCCTCCTTTTGCTCGTACTTTCTGCCCTTCTGCTTCGAAGGACCCTGGGATTTTGTCCACTTAGAGATGTCCCAGGATGCTTTCGAAGTAGTAGTAGCCTTCGTTGGGCCGTTAGATGCGGGCTCCTGTTTCCTGCTCGGCTTTGGCGGCCGATCGGTTCCATCCCGACAACACAAGTGCTTACAACTATATACAACTTAGTATATATGTCGAACAGGATGTGTATTCCCAGTATATATAAGTATACTCACCTGGTTTTGTCCTTACAGCGATGATTACAAGCCCAATTCCCATTCTCAAGTCTAACTGGCTCGATAGTCTTGACCGTATGTATGTCCTTGGTGTCTTTACCGGATGCTGCTTTCCGGTGGGCAACCGATGCTGTCCGTACCTGATCGTCGTTTCCATCCACCTCATTTATCGAATGATAATCCATATCTTCAGCTGCAAAGCGCACAGTCAGAATCAAAAATACATTGCAGCTTAATATATCAGAGGCGTACCTGCAGCAATCAGATCCACGTCGTCAAGACCGTCATCTTCGAACTCATCCATATCTCTCCGGCTTGCTAGCCCCTTTTTGGATATATCTTTGCTACGGCTCCTCGATGTGTTCATCGCGGGTTTCGACTCGCTTTTATTATCAGGGGGCTCCGTTTTCTGCGCTGGGAAATGTGAAGCTGGGATATCATGCCTCAACTCTGCCTGTCGCAATGTTCCCGCTGAAAAATGTTAAAAATGTGGAAAACGAAAGGGGGGAGGAAAGGAAACTTAGTCGCTGCAATACCAATGTCATCACACATAACGAAGCATGATATATACTGATAGACATCGGTCAATTGGGCGCTAAGGAAAATGTCATGGCCGTTCTGCAATTTGGTTGCACTTCATGGAGTCAATTAGCTACTGGATATGCAGGCTCTTGCGAGCAGGATTTTGTGAGAAAGTACCTTATACGCCTGAAATCTATCATTCGCCCATCCGATGTCTCTGCAAGGAAACAGACATATACGGGTTTCCGACGGAAGAAAGTAGGGGGCTTTTCATTCATAAACCCGATCTCTGCTTTGAAACCGACCCGTACTGATTTCCTAGGTTTGATATCCTTTGCCCCTAACGGTTAGCAGGTACACAAATAGATTTTTATCCTTTTCCCAAACCCGATCTAGTGTCCTCACCTTCCGCATTAGTTTGACCGAGACTCTGGTTTTCGGAAATTCCGCAACCCTCGCCAGAATTCTTGAGCCAAAGGGCGGATGCTTGCTCAACAGCATATCTATCCGATGTGGCTCCGTCGCCTCGATAGCCTCAATACTATTAATGCCAGCATTTGCAAGTTTCCTAACAGCCACGATACCAATTTGCTCAATCTGTTTCATCTGCCATGCGGAGTGGTCCCAAACTCTGGCACCTATACTCCGCGCAAGCTCAAGGGCATGCCTTGTGCTCACCGAGTCTTGGAGGGATATCTGGCAATCGGTTATGCATCGAATAAGCCGACTTACGTGGGAGAATACTAGTCCCTTATCTTGCTGAAACGATAACTTGTGCTTTTGATACTGATCGCCGATGGGGATATCGACGCTGCCCAGCTCAGACTGAATAAGTAGAGATATTTTATGCGCTGGTAGGGCGATGTCAATTTTTATAGGGAACTTGATGCCGTTTCCCTTATTCAGTTCCTTATACAACGACTTTTCGCCAGCCTTTAACCTAATTTCTCGAAACTCATCGGACTGTGTGAGGACAGAGAGCTATCCAATGAGAAACGTTTAGCTGCGATTAAATTAGCTAAGGAGGAGATAAGACAACTTACAATCTCAGACATCTTCGCCTTGGGCGGCAAGGAGAGAAACAATCTCATAGTTTCGAACTTGACGTAATACCGAGCCATCGCATCCCCAAACTCCGTCGATCTCAGGGGTTCCTCTGGAGTGACGAGAGAGCATTCTTGCAGGCGTTTAATATTCTCCTCACAGACTTCCTTCAACATCTCTTCTTCGTCTGACCTATTTGCTCCTTCTTTTAATTTATAGTGAGCAGGATTTTTCCTGAGACGAATAAAGAAAAAAGTCCCGGTAAGCCACCTCACAGCAGACTCAACGCCTGTAACTGTTCCAAGGCCTATTTCCGCGTTCAGGTGGTCGATCAGATTTAGATGCAAACAGCTTTCTAGAGGCTCCGTTCCAGCAACAAGTTTCTCATAATGATTTACCCTTTCCTTCCTTGTTAAAATGACTGCAACTGCACTGTCGTCAAACTGAGGTCTTCCCGCCCGCCCAAGCATCTGCATCATCTCTAGGTCTGGATACTCCTTGCAGCAATTATCTTGCCAAGAAACCGTGTTTTTGATAATCACGAGATGACAGGGAAGGTTTACACCGACCGCCAATGTCGATGTACAGCAAATCACGTTGATTTGTCCAGAAAGAAATCCGCTTTCGACGGCGTGGCGGTCACTAGCATCGAGGCCAGCATGGTGAAATGCAACACCAGTGGAAATGGTTGCTTAGATTTATCAGAATATTAATCCATCTAAAAGATAGCGTAACAAAAGGAAGATGTCCCAATATACATACCTCTCAATTCAGGATTTTGAACTACAACAGGTTTTGTTGGACCACTCCATAGGCGACGAGGCGGATTCGTGGATGTCCATAGCTTGCCCAAGTACTTTGATGTTGCGATCGCAGAGTTTCGAGTACAGCAAAATATCATAATTGGCTTTTTCTTCGAATGTTTCTCCATGACTTCAGGGAGTCTAAATTCTCAAATCAGTCACTGAAGAGAACGGAGTCAAGGAGGTGGGTATGGAAAGCTATTTACGTGCCTCCCCTCACAGGCTTTATCAAAAGCGAAATCATTTCCATTTCCTTGATAACCATAGACGAACTTCTGCAGCTTGACTGGTCTGAACTCTTCACCAAACCTTTCACAGTGAGCAGGGAGATGCTGGCTAGTGGGATCCTTACCCAGCCAAGCCCCAATGTCCTCAGAGTTTGGGACAGTGGCACTGAGCGCAACGAATCGGACATTGGAATCGACAGATTTCATTCGAGACACCACGGCTTCCAGTGTGGCTCCCCTAGTCTCTTTCAGAATGTGAACCTCATCGATGAGAAACAGCTTCACGAGTTGCATTAGTTTAATATGATCCTTCCATTTCCTTGTCATGCTATCCCATTTTTCAGGTGTTGTAATGACGATATTGGCATTTTGAACGTTGCGTAGCTGTGCGTGGTCAGTATCACCAGTAAGTTCCGCACATTGGAGGTCCAAGGAGGAGAACTTGGTTTGCCAGTCACGGAATCTTTCCGAGCACAAAGACTTGGTAGGTGCCTCATAAACCACCTTGAACCGGCAGTCCTTGACGTTTGTCACTAGTCGGCAGATAGCCAGTTCCATAACTGCAGTTTTGCCACTTCCAGTAGGGGCCGAGAGGACAAAGTTATCGTCTCCTTGGTAGATTGGACGAAAGCATTTGGACTGTATAGCATTAAAAACAGGGAAAGAGAAAATAGAACGGAACCGATCTGGCAGCTCATGGGTAGACACAAGTCGGATCCCCTGTATTATGGGCGGTGCATGATTAAGTTGGATTCCACTAGATTTAAGAGGCGATGATGAAATGGCAGCTCCGTTCCGCGATCCTTGGGAGGAGATTGTATTGGCAGATAATTGGGACTGGTTAGGTTCGTCATCATCATTTTGGACATCCCTGGAAAATAATGGTGGTCTCTTTCGGGCCCTTACCGCGAGCGACGGGCTTGAAAAAGGACCAATATCAGTGGAGCTAGAGATATCCCCGCGGGCAGGAGTATCCATTGCAGTTGCACCTAGATCGTCAGTAATGAATGCAGACGCACACACGCCTACCATCACAGAAACATTTCAAGACAGAGGCGAAGGAAAGAAAAGTTCCCTACTGCACTGAAAAAATCTCGAGCTATTTTGCTGCCGCCCTGGGCCTAACGTGGGGCCGTATAAATCAGCCGATTCTTCATCCCGGACATAAGTTTCGGAACGGTCTTGATTTTGCTCTTTCTCGGTTTCCAGCTGAGCCAATAGCTCGCGATCTTCAACAGACAACATCCCTTAGCCATTATTCTTTATAGAGCGTAGGTAGCAGAAATAACCAGCCTGTAATAGCAAGCAAAAACAGGGGAGGTAGGGATTCCCAACCAAACGCATCGAATGGCAAATCCCGATCCTGATCACATAAACCCAGCTCCCTCCCACTTGAAAAGCCCAGACGTCGTGGTAGATGTTGAGTTCGCCTAGGAAAAGCTTGAGAACCAATAGTAGTAGCACGACTATTGTTATCGTTGCCATCACGGCTAACCACGGTCGACTTAGCTTGTCCCCTCTTCCATTTCGAATTCGGCAGAGGCACAGTAAACGGTTTGAAAGATGGCGCGGATGAAGGGGAAGGGGAAGAAATAGACGATGAAGAAGAGGCCGAAGCAGCGGGACTTTTGAAAGTACTTAGAAGGCGGCGGAAGGTAGTTGTGTCTCGCTTCGGATTATCCATTCTTATACAGGAAAGCCACTACCGTTCCGTGCCGCTGATGAAACGAAGACTTCAAAGTCAATTTACATGGCATAGAAATGACAGGGCATCATAGGAAAACAAAGCAGCCGAGCAAGAGAAAAGCGGAGATGACTTCCTACACTGTCAAGTCGTTCAGGAATGATTGCGAAGACGATCAGGGGGTATATGTGTTAACTACCAAGGATATACACCGTCTGCATAGAGACAGAATGCCAAATAAATCAGAAATATGCCAATTCACTACCACGACTCATTCTAACCACAATATGCTAAAAAAGGAAAAGGCGGTAAGCAGTGACAACTGGCAAGTTGTTGATATAGGATCAGAAAGATAAAAGTTGAGGTTGGAATAAAGATGGGAGATAAAAAGGGGCTGAAAATCACATGACCTGTCTCCTTGGATGCCATGCCATAACGGAAGGTGGACCGAATACTCCGTACCACGTTTAAAGTACTCCGTAGTCTCCCCGAATCAAGAATCGCAGGTCCTGTGCAAAACATATCATGAATCGGCTGATTAGGCTGATCTGAGGGAGAAAAAAAATGAGCGAAAACAAATATGTATAAAAAGGTCCTGCAACATCAAAGTGTGCCTGCTTTGAGATGCTTTGAGATGCGCAGCGTTTAAAGTTTTTATGGAAAAAGTAAATTTCTTTAGGGAAGAAAAAAACTGAAAAAGAAAAAAAAAAAAAAGAAAAGAAAAAAGTGAAAAAAGTGAAAAAGATGGAAAAGAAGAGGGAAAAAAAAAAAAAAAAAAAAAAAAAACAACCCTATCCCTCGCAGAAACCAGACCCTGAGAGTTCCCGACTTGTATATAATTTAACGCACCGAACCACATCTTCTATCTTCTACTCTCCCCTCCCGCTCACTACCTCTGAGTGTAACCGCAGGGAATCGAAAAGGAAGGTAGGAAAGAGAAGAAATAAAAGAAAATAATAATAATAATAATAATAATAATAAATTAATAATCCCCCTCTAACCCCCCCTCTGCGCAAAATACGACCCTTTCAACCTAGTATGGTTCGGCGAGCCCGGTCTCGACGTCGTCAGTGCCGCCGACTCAGACAAACCGGGAGTTGTGGGCAGTTTTATGGAAAAGTCGTTGGACGGGGTGAGGTGGGAGTATTCGGCATTGGCATGATTGAGGGTGGTGGTGGTGGAATTATTATTATTCCTACCTGCGTCTGCTGCTGATGAGGCGCTGGTGGTGCTGGTGGTGCTGGTGACCATGCCTAGGCCGCTGAGCTTTTCAAAGTTGTTGATGCGGATAGGTGGGGGCCGGTTGTTGCTTTTCGGGGGGGTGCGGGGGGTGCTTGGGTGTGGGAGTTGGTTGTAGATGTAAGTGCCTGCGAGGACGAGGATGGTGCCGATGATGAACTATATTTTTTTTTCGCGTTTGGTTTTGGGTTTTGCGGTTAGTATAATAATAAATAGTATGTGGGAAAAGCGAAAAGGAAAAGTTGTTAAACGCCCCCAGATCAGGGAGAATTATTAGATACGTATATAGGAGGGAGGCGGCCACTCACATTCCCACTCGCCCTAAACTCAAACGCCCACATCGCCCCAACAGCGCTTAGCACAATACTAATCCCAGTCGCCGAATTCCGCAAGCCATGTTCTCCGCGCGAAATGCAATACGACGTCGCAATGCCGCCCCCGGCCTGCAGGCCAATAACCAGCCACACAACCCAATTGTAGCCACCAAAGAATCCAGCGCGCGCCACCTTCTCGCCGTCCAGGAACACCACGCCGATAAACAACGAGGGGAATATCGAATAGACGGCCAGCTGCACGTTGCGGATCCATACAGACGTGGTAGACGTGGCGCTGTCCTTCAGTACTTTTTCGAAGGTCACGCCCGCCAAGCCAGACGCGATGCATGCGCCAATGGTAGCCAGCAGGCCAATGTTCCCATTCATGTGCGGGAAGCCCAGCATCAGATCCTCCTCGATGCCTTCGTAGGTGGCGGAGCGCTTGTGCGGCTGCTGATGCACATTGCGGCGCGTCATCGAGGCACCGAGGTTCTGCCATTCTTCCAGCGAGCGGGGGAAACGGACGCGCGTGCGGTGGTCGTGCATATCATTTGGGTCCGTGTGTGGTAGCTGGACGATAAAGACGCCCGCGATTAGTAGGAACAGCGCTGTCCATTTCCCAAAGGATAAACTCCGCCTGAGCAACGTGGCGCCGAAGATTGCCGCTGTGGCTAGCTTCAATTGGTATGTGACCTGGAAGGTGGCGGCTTCGAGGTTGGAGAGCCCGATGTACACCAGGGAGTTTGATAGAGTATACAACCCTGCCGGAACAGCTAGTTTCCAGCTATCGCCAGTAAAAACCGCGGCAGATAGGTTGGTGAAGAGTGAAGTCGCGGGCATGGAGGGTGGCACGGTCTTGGAGACCTCGTAGAGCGCCGCGGTTAGGCAGACTGCTAGTTTTATAACCTCATTGAGGAACACCGCAGTTGAGGAGAGGTATCGCCGGCCGCCAACGACGGGCATTACTCTGGAGTAATGGAGGAGCTGGGTTTCACAAACTCGCGTGACGCAGTGACGGTTAGTTCAGCCAATTCCATCTTGCATGGATTGTCTATCCCGTGAGGTATTTGGGGGTGGGTATGGTTAGAGAGCTGGAGGAGCTAAAGAGCAGAGAAGGCAAAATATTGCATACTAATGTGAAAGTTGTGTACTGAATCGTTAACTGCAGGTCGGAAGAGAGTGCTTAAGTTAGCAATGCACGAAATCACAACACTCTCATACACCACCGGCGCAGGCAGGCCAAAAATAATAATAAGGATCATTGGGAGGGTAAATCTTCGTCCGTACCAAAACCAAGGAAATCCGTCTCCCTAGAATCCCCATCCAGCCAGCGGCCGCCCTTGAGTCCCTTCTCATTGTGACGCGTAGTTGGGATGAGCGAACCTCGTTCTCGAGGAGGGGAATATCTTTATTTTCTCGTGGCAGGCTCGCGATATATCGGCGGGAGTATGTTCACGGACTTGATTGACTTGACAGGGAGGCAAAGGTTGCAAAATCGAGAAGAAAAATTGAAACGTGGAATAGTTAAAAAGAGTCAAGAAAGGGTTGTTGCAGTTGATGCAAAAAAAGAAAAAGAAAAAAAGAAAAAGAAAAAAGAAAAAACCAGGAATTGAGCTGCTAGCTGTCCATCGTCCAGGCGCCGACGACAAGGAAAAAGCAAATAATAATCAAGAAAGCAAAGATCGCGAGCCCAGGAGAAGATTTAGTGCGATCCGCCCGTCTGTTTGTTAGGCGCTTCTTCAGGCACAAGGGCGGCTGGCTTTAACGAGTTGCCAAATACAAAGTACACGGTAAAGTTTCCCAGGCTGTTGTTGAACAAAGGAAGTAAGTTAAGCGGCAGTTGTAGGATAGGTTAATAAATAACAACAGCAACTCAACAAGGAAAAGCCGTCAAAAGACGGTGAATAATATATAACTATATATCTAGGCTCTTAAGGTATGAGAATAAACAGCAGATTACTATACGGAGTACTGACAGTCACAAGAGGGCCAGTTAACTAACAAAGCGTCACACGATCTGACACACGATGCGATGCGATGCGGGAGAGCGGAGATATATAGACTCGATAAGTTATAGTTATATCTCTAATAATAACTAACTAATAACTAAACTAGATAAGTTAATAATAACCCTCCCACGAACCCATTTTCCATTTTCCCACGAAACAAACCATCTCAACCTACCCTACCTCGACGATGGTCTGTGTCTGCCTTTCATTCCAGTTATTTTTACTCTCTCACTCTCTGAGATCTCTCCTACTCCTAGATAGATACATGGGCTACCAGCCGCATTACTACAGCGTTCCTGTGCAGGCAGGCCCATTATGATCATATTATCTCGTTTCCCAACAAGCGCCACCGCACCCCGCCAACCCCCCCCCCTAAGTTCTAACTAACCAACCCTGAAGCCCCTCCCCTCCCCCCCTCCGCCCGCCAAGGAGGCCCCAAGAACAACTTACAACAAACAACATCATCCAATCTTGAAACAACTCCTGCCCCCCCCCTTCACTGAACCAACCTGGCTGACCTGACCGCTTTCTGCAACAGGGGCCATGTGTTTCTTGTAAATGTGGTGTTTTTGTGTTTTGTGTTTTGTTGGGTTTGCATGTGTGACGGGCAAGGGCTCCTCCCTCCCTCTACGCTGTAGCCACCACCCACCTTCTATTCTAACAAACACGCCTTGGGTAGAGTTATAAATAATGGATCAACTACGGAGTACTCCGTACCTGACCTAGAGCTAAATAACCGTAAGTCACATACTGTTAAGTCACATACTGTAACATTATACACAGCCCACCCACATGCTGATAATAAAAAATAAAAAAATAAGGAAAAATAAATAGTATGATTACATAGATCTATCCTTATGTATATATATATTCCCCCTCCTCTTTTCTTTTCCGGCCCGCAGATAGAGATGGGATATACACCTGTAAAAAAAAGTAGTAGAAGAAGAAGAAGAAAAAAGGAAAAGGAAAAGGAAAAGGAAAGGCCCCGCTCCCCTATTCTGTTATTACATCGTGCTGTATGGGAGTGAAATGTAGTAAAAGGAAAAACATGATGGGTCGTATCGAGTGAATATGTGTATATGTAGACGGGTTGTGTATGTTGGATAGACAAAGGAAAAGAAAGATAAAAACAAAAGGGGGGGAATATCATAGAAACTAAAAGAAATGGAAAATACGAATGGGGTTGTAGAGAGAAACAGAAAATATGGACGCAGGATAAAGGGCAGGAGTGATAAAGGGCGGGATAAACAAAACTGACGGAAACTGAACAGATCCATTCGTTAACGGCTTCCTTTCTGCAACGGAATATAGGCCTCGAATGATTCGAAAAGAAAAGTCGATAGGAAAAATAAATCCGGATATAGATCATGCAGTCAAAATGCGAATGAAACCCATCCAACGACACAACAAAATAATAATATATGGCCCTCCAAAATATATAAATGGTAAGGGGTTCGTTCGGGGTGAAGAGAGAAAAAAAAAATCAATAAATCCGCAGAGAGAAAATATATATATATGCATATATACACACGTATATATTTATCAATGCACAACCGCCAACCCAGGCGTCTCCGAACTCCACCCAAGCGCCCAGATGGGTAATTCCGTGTCATCCACCGCGACGGCCGCGGCTTTGGCGCTGGTGCTGGTGCTGGTGCTGACGGCGTCCCTGACACCCTCCTCCCCATCCCCATCCCCATCCCCGTCTCCAAACACCATCGCGCTACTACTATCCGTCCTCGTGCGCGAGTGTCGCTTCGTCTCCTCTATCGGGAGCACCACGTCTGCGTCCAGAGCGGCGGTCTTGGGCGCAGTCGTTGGAGTGGCAGCGGTGACGGACGGTAGAGGTGAAGGAGGGGATAATAACGGCGAATCGGGTGAGGGGGATGAGGAGAGCCGTGATGGCGGCGATGGCGGCGATGATGTGGATAGGGGAAATGGTAGTCCTATAGGTGGGTAGGAGGATAGAGGTTGTGGATGCATCAGCATTACGTGGTGCTGGTGGAGCGGGCTTCCGCTACTGCCGTTGCGGTTACCGCCGCTTGGACTGGTAAGTTCTCGAGGCTGTGGCTGTTGACTATGCAGTTGATAGTGCTTCTGTGGCTGTTGCTGTTGTTGTTGATGTGGTGATTGCGGGGGGTTTATACTGTGGTGTGCGCGGCGAAGTCCAGCTTGCTGAAGGTGAGGGAAACGTGTCTGAGTGCACAAGGCTGACACGCGGTGAGGGGTTGGAGTGATGGTCGCCACCGCTGTCTGAGACTGACAGGGCATGGTGGGAGCGGGAGCTGTCGCTTCCGGCGGCGGAGGTACTGCCCGCGACTTTGCCGCTGGTTGGTGGGAGGCCGGGGCTCAGTGCTAGGAAGGATGTGTCGCCAATACTCCCACCCCCGTATTGACTAGAGGGAGGACGGTCGGTGGAAGGAGTTGGGGACTTTCGGAATGTGCTAGTGGTTGCAGTCGTCGAGAATGTGGTTGGCATTGGGTTGAAGAAAGAGGTTCCGGGGTTGGGGAGGTCAATGAGCGGGAAGTTGGGCGGCATGTTCCCGCCGTGCTGTCTTATGACTTCGAGAAGCTCTTCTTCCTGTCTAGTCACGGCAATGACACGGCTGCGCCGGTTCATGGCTTTGATACTATTCTGGGTGCTGGGGACGGGCAGTTGGAAATCGAAGGGTAAAAGGTTGGGGTTAGCTGTAGTCGAGGGCACAGGGGAGGGGGATGTGGAGGGGCGGAACTTGGGGGGGCTGTCTGGCTCCGAGATGGTGGGGATGCCATTCGAAGGGCGGTAGCTTGGGGTTCTAACGTTGGAGGAGGTTGAGTGGCCGCGCGAAATTCGCGGAGGGGGAAGGCTCGTGTTTCGGACTCTAGGCACAGAAGAACCGCGAGAGGCGGAAACGGCTTTCGCTATGAAAATTTCGGCCACCCCTTCATCGAATGTGGCGATGCTATCACGAATAGCACGTTGCTGGACAGGCTTATTATATACCTCCATTTCATCCTCGTCAGCCTCATCTTCTGAAGACGAAAGACACAACACACTAGACTCGTTAAGGTCTGATTTATTTAAAGTGATCTTGCTACTTTTCCTGGACAAACCCCCAAAGGCGATAGCCGGTGATCCCACACTAGGTGGAGTGGGGCTGTTAAGATCCCAGTCATGGAAAAGGGTATGGAATCTGGTGGTTGCAGGGTTGAATAAGGGGCTAGTGTTGCTATGGAGTTCGGGGGTGGGAACGGGAGAGAGTATTAGCGTTCGGCTTGAGGCTCTTGACGTTCCGCTCATGGCATTTGAATGCACGCTAACCCGATTACCGCTGCCACGGGAATAGGCAGACTCCCGATACGTTGACTGGGGTACAGATTGCGGGTTTTGGATACCATATTGGGTGGGCTCGTCGGCTTCGGCATTATCATCGTAGCCACCACCCTCATTATCATCACTAAAGTGTCCAGCCGGTCCATCAAACCAGTCGATAGATGGTTTCCTTTGTTGCCTCGTGCGCTTCTCGTGGAATGGGAATTGGTAATGTTGCGACTGTAACTCCTCTTGCCGCTGTTGCTTTAGTTGCCGTTGCTGCAGTTCCTGCTGTTGCTCCTCCTCCTGTTGTTTTGGTTCTTGCTTCCTGCGTCGTTGATACTGGTCTGGTTCCTCCTTTCTCTTCTTATGTTCCTCTCTCCTTTGTTTCTCACGATTCTGGCGCTGGAAATGCTCCTCCTTTTCCTGTTGCATCTGTTCCTGCTTCCTTTGCTGCTGTTCCCGTTCAAGCTTCTCCCGTTGCTTCCGTTCTCGGTCCTTTTGCTCTTGTTTCAGGCGTTGGTGAGGCTGCTCCTCTTCCTGTTGCTTCTGCCTCTGCTGCTCTTCCTCACGCCGTTTTCTCTCTCGTCTACCCCACTGGAAGAAGCGTTCTTTCTCCTTTTTCACCGGCTGCTGCTGGTAAGAGATACGGGAGAGTTGTGGGGTTGGGAGCTGTGACGATTGAGAATGATGCTGTTGTTGTTGTTGCTGTTGTTGTTGCTGTTGTTGTTGCTGTTGTTGTTGCTGTTGTTGTTGCTGTTGTTGTTGCTGTTGTTGTTGCTGTTGTTGTTGCTGTTGTTGTTGCTGTTGTTGTTGCTGTTGTTGTTGCTGTTGTTGTTGCTGTTGTTGTTGCTGTTGTTGTTGCTGTTGTTGTTGCTGTTGTTGTTGCTGTTGTTGTTGCTGTTGTTGTTGCTGTTGTTGTTGCTGTTGTTGTTGCTGTTGTTGTTGTCCGTCATAAAGACTAGGAGAATAATTACTCGGCGGGAAAGCCGGCGACGGCTCGGAAGGTTGCCGTCCCTGTTGCTGTTGCTGCAGCTGCTGCTGTTCGTACTGCATGCGAAGAGCAGAAAGTTCCTTACTACTAGGTGGCTTGGTCAATTTATTCACTGTCTGATATATGCTGCCAAGTCTCCGCTGCTGTGCACCGAACGACGAGGCATCTGACAGTAGGGAAACGGGTGATGGCGACATTGTCATCCGGTGGGGGGATAATAGCGGCACGTCACGCTGGACAGAAGGATCGCTGGGTTTGGGAAAGAGCTTCGACAGGTCAATCATCAGGGGGCGATGTTTGGGTTTTGACGATGACGATGACGATGGCGATGAAGACGCCGACTTCTCCTTCTGATCTTGCGGGTATCGCTGCGAGGGGTCCCCGTTGTTTGTCGAATTGGGCTCGGTCGACGAATTGGAAGAATAGGCGTTGCTTCGAAAAGCCAGATCCCTGGAGGGAACCGATGCCGGTGTTTGTTTTTGAGCGTTGTTGGGCGCCTGGGTCTGCGTTTGGATATGCGCCGGTGCCTGCGCCTGCTGTGGAACAACCGAAGGCGGTTTCAAAGGATCATGAGATGAAAGGGTAGTCGAAGATGAGTCGGTCTGGCGCAGGGTGGGGTGAGCCTTTGCATGAAAGGACGGAAGCGGCTCGTGAGGACGGGTTTGATAACGGACGCCCAAGAGGGGCGACGACGCCCTTGGGCGCAATTGTCTCTGCGGGATGACACCTGTCCCTGCGGTTCCAATATTCAGATTTCCATTAATTGCTTCTCCCGTTCTTCCACCGCTGTTGGTCAGTGAGGGAGACGGTGGTATTTCAACCTGTCTTGCTGTCCGCACTGTCTTGCTGAACTTGGTCAGAAAGTCATGATCAACAATAATGTTGTTGTTTGCGGTATATCGATGGCGATCTGGTGGATGCTGGGCGCTGAGCCTATCAAGGTCGGTAAGAGGAGGTATGTTGGATTGGCGAGGGAGTAGTTTGTCGGTTGGCGAAGGTGAGAGACTGGATAAGCGATGAGGCACTGGCGGTTGGTGTTGGGCCATACTCCTCCTCCCCCTCCCCTCGTCTTGGTTGCGGCCAGGGATTCTTTTCTTTTTCCAGTTAAGTGGTTGATGCCGAGACAGGCGGCCCCCGTCTGCTGTCGTTCAGGAAAAAAGGTAATGAATGGATAGAGTCAAGAGGGAGAGGCGCGCTTGCAGACGAGACGGACGTAGCAAAGTCTTCTTCTTTCCTTTTTTCTTTTCCCTTTTCCTCTCTCTTTTTTTTTAGTTTTTTTTTATATATATTTTTTTAATAAAAAGGGAAAAAAAAATATGATTAAATCGATCGTCTCTGATTCTGACCGCTAGTTAAGAATGGAGGAGACCGTCATATCTCGACCATTGACCATTCCAATTATGGGGCAGGCCCAGTAGAGGCAGAAAGGAACGACGATAAAAGCGTACAACAAAAAGAACGCACTTGACAGGCGTCGTAAAAATAATAAAGAAGGTAAAAAATAAAAAGAAAAGTCTCCGACCGGCGAAAAGATCGTAGTTATTATTATTATTATTTTAACTGGGTTCCCGTCCGTAGTTACCCCATACGATGCGTTTTGGCGTTCGGAAGTTGGACTGTTTTCCCACACTACGACTACTACAGAGTACTACTACTACTACGTACTTCAAGTACAAGTACAATGTACCACAGGACAGGGACCCAAGGGGATCCACGCGAGACGATTCGGGCGAACCAGATAGCAGGGCGAGGTCATGCAAGAAAAAATATAACCATCAACTGGCGGCAACGTGGGGAGGGAGGGAGGGAGGGGGAGCCTAGCTGCGGGAAGATGTGTGGGTTGGGGTGGCACAGCGAGTAACCGTCCATCAATAATAATAATACGGAGTAGTGAGGATGAGGATAGCACAGGATGATGGTGAAGGACAAGAAGAACGACATTAGGCTGGCTACGCTGGGTAGGATGTATGTATATGTACAAGTACAATGTACATATACGGAGTACGCTGTACGGAGTACATGAACATACAAAAGAACAGGAGAGGAGGGGATGATGACAGATGGCCACTACGACCGAGGCAGTGGACGATAGTTACTGCGTACTACTAGTTACTACTACTACTACGACTACTACTACTACGACTAGGGTAACTAACTATGGTATGGTATGCAGTTGTAACTTATTATTAAGTTATCTCAGCAGGACAGAGACAGAGTAACAGTAACTAATTAATCTGCATGGCCTGCAGCAGCTGTGGGGGACATTGCGAGGTTCTAAGGGAAAAAAAGGATAAATGTTGAATCCCTAATAATAACTCCACCCGAGAACCCAAAAAAGAGGACAAAAAGAAAAAAAGGGAGAGTTAAAATTTAAAAACTAGTTACACTGCGTAAGAATAAAAAAAATAAAAAATAAAAATAAACCCTCAACAGGAAAATAACGAATCGTAACTACGGAGTACACAGTAACCAAACAGGGGCCGGGATTTATCCAATCTCCCCTCCCCTCCTCTCCTCCTCTCCTCTCCTCTCCATACTGCCGCCTGACGGGTAAATAGCACTGCAATACCCAACGCCATGCTCATGACAACTCAAACTAACTAACTAATCTGCACGGCGTTAGACAGGTAATAAATGGTGAAATGGTGAAATAACTACTCCGTACTCTATACTCCGTAACTACTCCCTACCAAGCCAGCTAGCGTCGCCTGGGCCCCATGCTGTGCGTGCTTGCTGCTAGTTCCAGCTTCCAATCTCGGCATCCATGACATACATGAATAGCAGATCAAAGGAGGGGGAGGGAGGGGGCAGGCAAATCATCAAGCCTTCAAGCCTGGGCTGCCCCAGATGGCTTCTGCACAAAAATAAATCGATCTTTCAAGCTTCCAGTTCCAGTGCGGATGGATTGTTGCTGTTGTTGTACTGTACATGCATGTACTCCGTACATGTACATAACTTGTCGGTGGCTCGCTTTCGCCTAGTAACTTAAGTTAACTTAATAACTTATAAGTGATCCCGCTGAGTTAGTTCGAAAAAAGGGGGGGATTTCAATCAACATGGAGGGAGCCTCAGGGAGGTCTTCTACATTCTAACCAAGTGGAGCGGACAAAACCATCTTATTATTATTATTAGTTAACTACCCCTTCAACCTCCTCCTTGATCTGTAGATGTACTCTGTATATTGTACCCCGTATACGCTGCGTACAGAGTCACTGTTCTCTATCCTATCCTTGCAGGGCCCCCTTGCCATGCAACAGGCGACATTCATCCATCCCATCCCTTCTGAGGCCTCTGTACGCTGCCCCTGACTAGCAAAACCAAAAGCCAGGAACCTACGGGAACTGCCCCGCCCCATTTATTCCATACTAGCATCCAATCTGTTGTTTTCTTTAATATTACTCCATTCATTACCCCATACTTCTAGTCAAGTTATTAGCAACTATTATTTATTATTCTTCGTCTAGCCTGACCTCCTTCTCCTCCGTGTGCCTGTCATTCGGCTTCATTCCTGATAAGGTCATTCAACATTCTTATTATTCATTATGGGGGCGGCTTGCTACTTATTACTATTATTATTACTACTGCTAGCTAGGCCTCCCTGACATGTTTCCCCCCCTCCCTTGTCTTTCCCAAGTCTTCACCAGTGCCGTGCAAGATGAGATGGTCATTATTCATATGTATCTAGCACCCCGTAAAGGGGAATAGGGAATAGGGAATAGGGAATAATGTTTGTTTATATCCGTTTCTATGGACAATGGTCAATGGTCAATGGAGTCTAGACATCCTCGAGAATCGCATACATATAATAGCTAACTAGCTAGCGATGTAGCTCAGTACAATGGTCAAGGAAGGAAAAAACAAAACTAAAAAAAGAAAAGAAAAGAAAAGAAAAGAAAAGAAAGAAGGTCTCTAAAAGCCTCTCTGTCAACCGATCGAGCTTTGTATGCACATCACTGATCAGTAACTAGTTAACGGTCGAGGGCAAATCGTGGCGCTCGCCAGTCGAGTCGTCTCCAAACAAGTCCGAAAGATGAAAGCCTGAAGAAGGTTCAAGACATGTCAAACTAGTTGAACGCTAGTTAGCTTTGGCGCCGAATTTTCAAGCAGTAACTTAAAATAAGTTAATAATAATAACAAGCCTCAATCGCTCGCTTGCACTCACTTATTCAGCTTGAAAAACGTGCTGTTTAATCCCTCAGGTTGAATATAATGAGATATCCATGAATATGAACAGCTGCATGTGACTTGTATAGATGAATTCTATATAATTCACAACTATTAATAGAGAATAACTATATAAGAAAAAGATGAATAACACTGTAACAGTGTTGTAGAGTTAATGTAGAAGCTTCAAGTAAGATGTAATTAAATATTAAATAGCTCATATAAAGATCTTAGAACTATAATATATATAGTCAGTAATTGAAATATATCATAATTTACTTTAATTAATCATTAAATCATCTGAAATACAATTGAAGCAGTTAAAATAATCAAATATAAGTAGAGAACTGAAAGAGAAACAGCTCAGAAATTATGAAATTACAGCTAATAATAGTGCAGAGTAAGCTTAGAAAGCTCTGAAGACTCAGCTGTTTATTAACTTATCTATATCCGTCTCTCAGAAGTTATATCAGCAGTCTGTCAATGTATGAATATCTGAACATAGACTACAGCTGCTGATAGAATAAATAGTTAAGAAAGACAGTGAGATTATTATACAGCTGTATAAGATAAAGTCTAAGAGAGCTATAATACTGTATAAGAAGAAATTCAAGTCTCAGTTAAAAAGAATAATAAATATAGAATCAGTACTTACTTATAGCTATGATATTAAAGTCACTTTATTATACAGCTTATATAAGAAGAACTATAATTTATTTATTAAGTGTATTATAATCTCTGATATATTAAAGAGAGTCTGTATGTAAGAGGTCTACACTGAATAGATTGATATAATATTGATAGGTCTTATATAACAAAGATAAAAATGTTAGAGAAGAAAAGAAAGAGAAAGTGTGAGAATCAGTGATTGAAATGAATATTTATACATGTATGTAGTAATGTACACAGTGAAGCTTTGAAGTAGAAGAATATATACATGTTTATAGTGACTGAGAATCAGTGATTGAGAATGACTGAGAATCAGAGCATATGTGTTTAAGAATGAAGTGATTGAAATCTGTGAGATGTAATAAAATAGTCTATATAATTGATCAGATGCAGTCTGTCATATTAGTCCTCTCTTTCAGAAGCAGTTCTCATCAGTCAAGAGTCATTGTTTCAGATAATATGAAACTTGAAGTTCAGATCAGTTAATTATAGTCAACTCATTTCATAAGATATTATCAGCTGCAGTCATGAGATCTCTTATCAAGAATATTCTCAATCTCTTACTCAAGCTCATTATCTTCTTCTATGATGTCTGATGACTGTCAGTCAGAAGTCAGTTGAGAAGAGAATAGATTAGTGACAGCACAATGAAGCAAGCTTATATAAAATACATTATAAATCTCTGATAATGTATTAAGATAGTAGTTATAACTATCTAGAACTTCTATTACTTTATACTTGATATAACAGTAATCTAGTATATGAGATGAACATGTGATTCATATATTCTTAAGATTCAATTATATCAGATCTTCTATCTTATATTATTTAGTGAGATCTTGATAAACATTAATTTAATTCTCTTAATCTTATTTCACAGTTGTTATGAAGATCTCTGCTTAATTACAGATATCTCAGAGCTTTATTACTATATTATCAGCAATCTGAATTAGACTGCAGAGATCTGATATGAACTGTATAGTCTCTAGAAGATTTAACACTTTTATATGATATCTGTATGTAAGAAAAAATGAGCTTATATCTATTAAAACAGTATCTCAACTGTTGATAGTGATCTCTGTGTATAGAAGAAGATTATATCAATCATCTTATAAGTAATTACAGAACTTATAGAGATAATTCTTCACAGTCTGAATTGTTTATTCTGATGTATCATCAGTCTTAGAGTGATAGGCAGTTGATAGATGATATATAATCTTAAGAACTTGACAGATTCTTGTTCAGAGAGTGCTTATGAATTAACAGCTCTGATTTAATACTATAGATCTCAGTAACTCATATATCTGATAGAACAGACTCTGTAGAAAAGCTTCAGTGACTTGTTCAGTATTTATCTTATTACAAGATTCTAATATTATATCTTTGCTCAGTCAATTCACAATGATCAGAATGTTTTTATAATTCTTACTCTTAAATAGATTAACAGTGAAGTTAATTACTACATCTCATCAGATTCTATTAGAAATATTAAGTGATTTTAATAGATCTTTTCTACAGTTCTTTTATAAGATAATAGAAGAACAGTGATTACAGTTTCAGATAAAGTATCTGATACTGTTTAATATCTCAGATTAGTAGAACTCTTGAGAGATTATTCTATACAGTTATTCACAGTCTGAATAGTTAATTATATATGAATCATACATCTCTTATATTATTCAAGTGTATAAGAGTTCAGAGTGAGAGACTCAGTGTTGTTTACAGAATTATAGAGTATTATTATTATCAATTGAATATTCTAAGATATCAGTTCTTATACATAGTTCTGAGAGAAATCAGAGTGCTTCTTGATATACTACTTTAATAAGAGTCTGAAGAAGTTCATTCATCTGAGCTGCTGTATATCACAGTTTATTCAGTGTAGAGAAAGTAAAGATATTAATAACAGTTCTAACTGAAGAAGTATATATAGTATCATGAACTATTTCATCTTGATTAACTAGTATCTTCAGATTCAAGAGCTTATGCTCTCAGTTTATTCAGTAAGTATCTATTATATCAGATAATATATCTTACTCTCATTGTGAGAGAGTATCTATCATCAAGTTCTGACTATCAGAATAATAGTGTATTATAAAATAAAAGTAGCTTAAGAACTCAGATTATCATATCTATCATTCAGTGAGTTTACAGATAGTTATAAAGTATTTAAGATTCTTATAATCTATGACTATTTTAAATTCAGAGACACTTCAGAGTAGACTGACCGTGTGACCATGTCTGAGACCAGGATC